CGCCTCCCATCAGGATTACAGCGCAGCTTCTTGCCACTAGGCCATCAGTGCTCCCTGTGTATGGGGGATCAGAGTTGATTCCCGGCCAGCATACCTCATGCCCAGCCACCTGTAGACACCAGCGACAGTTTGCCTGTTGCTCTGACGCTTGAACAGATTTCAGCAGAGCTTCCAGATTAAGATGTTCCAGGAAGGAGGGTCAGGAAATCTATTTGTGAACCTCAGCTGACAAAATTGCTGTAGATCCCAACATTTTATTCCATTACCTGTGTGGCCACCATAAATTGGGGCTGACTCAGTGGCAGCTAAGAACAAAAAAAGCGATAAGAATAAATGACAAAGAAAAATCTTTCTTTTTAATAGAATAACTGTCATTGTATACCGCTGGGTCAGAGCCAACCCATAGCTGAACCTCCAGTGGGTTTTTGGAGGCAGTAAATCACCCATCTTTCTCCCACAGAGCAGCTGGTGGATTTGAACCATGTACCTTTGCGCTGGCAGCACAGGTCCTTACCAGTAAGCCACCAGAACTCCCTATAGAAGAACAGAATAATCAAGAAGAGTCAATGAATTAAAGGTGAGAACGCTTCTGGCATAGAGTAGCAGGAACTTAAGAAACACAAGGCTGGAAGACTTCTTGGAGGAGGTGTCAATAGAAAGTACAGTAAGTGAAGGATCTTTTGTGAAAAACAATGTATTCAAACTTTGTAAATAAATCAGAATAAAATTTAAAACAACAACAACAAAAAGAGCTGGAAGGTTTAGGAGGAGAGTGAACTTGACTATTCTCTTCCCTTTCCAAGGTGACTTCCCAAGAAGCCATGACAGAGGACAGAAACCTGCCCCCACCACTGCCTCCACGGCTGGACTGGTTCGTGCACACCCAGATGGGCCAGCTGGCCCAAGACGGGGTCCCTGAGTGGTTCCACGGTGCCATCTCAAGAGAGTAAGGACATGCCCTGCCCTTCGCCCCCCTTGTCTTCACCTGCCCCCATGCAGGAGAGTTTGTAAGAATTCGAGCTCAGTATGGTGTTAGGTCTTTCATTCATAGGGTCTCTATGAGTTGTCTATGACTCTACAGCACCTAACAACAATAACAACGACAATGTAGAGAGAGCTACGTTGGCCTAGTGCACAGAAAGTTATGCTACCAAGCCCAAGGTGGGTGATTTTAATCTGTAGCCCTCAGGCCTGGTTCAAATTGGTTTTTTATCAAACATTCGTCTATGTGGTATAGCACTGGTCTGTGCATTGCTGTATAGAGGTAACTTGTGGTTGCTGTGATGCAAAACACTGTGACACTGATGTGCCAAATGTGACAATGGTTACCCATGGTGGACAGTGTTTGGTGGAGCTTCCCAATTAAAACAAGCTTGGAAGCAGGAGGGGCATCCGCTTCTGAAATGGCTTGCCTCCGGAAACTCTATGAGCAGTGCTCAAGTCTTTCACTCATAGGGTCGCTATGAGTCATCTATGAATCGATGACACCTAACAACAACAACATGGTGTCTCTGAAATCTCTGAAACCAAGGGTTAAATTTTGCTTCCTCTGTGGATTTGCTGGTGACTTTAGACAAGCCACATCCCTCTCTGAGCCTCAGCTTTCTGTATATAAGAGTCCACATTCCACCAGGGACCAGGCAGACCAATACCCTTACCCAGACCAGTCTCCACTAATCATGAAAGCTTTGGAAGCCTTAACATCATGCCCTAAGTTGTTGTTGTTGTTGTTAGGTGCCGTCAAGTCAAGTATGACGCATAGCAACCCTATGAACGGCAGATCTGAACCCTGTCCTCTCCTGTGTCATCATCGTCTCTAACACACTTGAGTCCACTGCTGCAGTCACTGTGTCAATCTGTCTCATCAAGGGTCTCCCTCCCTTTTCACTGACCCTCCACCTTTCCAAAGCGGGATGTCCCTCTCCAAGGAATAGCCTCTCTTCAGGAATGCTCGTTCAAGGCAAAGATGACAAAGCTTCGTCTCACATACTTTGGGCTTGTTGCGATGAGAGGTTGCACCAAGTGGCTGCTTTCGATCCATCAGCAATGCAGCCTGTATGTCTTTTCTGTTAGATTGTGGCCTCCGAGGCATAAACAACTGAGCCAGTCACCCTCAGGGCCTGGACTGAGTAGATGGAGGAAAGGACACTTGGTGCCACCCTGGGCATGCAGGAAGTAGGAAGACTCCTAATGAACGTCACAGTGAGGGGGAAGGAGGAAAGTCTCTGAGCTCTGGGCAGGGCCGGCCAGTGGAACAGAATGCATTCCACAGGCACAACTTACATAATACTTTAGTAGCTGTAAAAGGAATGGATGACATTACTTTTCATAGGTTGTGAAGGTTCCTGGGTGGCGTGAGTGATTTGCTCTCAGCTGCTAACCCAAAGGTTGGCAGTTCAACTCCACCCAGCTGTGCTGTGGAAGAAAAGTCTGGCAGTCTGCTTCTGTAAAGATCACAGGAAAAAACCCTATGGAGCAGTTCTGCCCTGTCACGTGGGGTCACTGTGAGCCAAAACGGACTCAATAGCAACAGGTTTGGGGGTTTTGAAAAGAATATATTTTAACATATAGTCATTTTCCCCCCCTCATTACTTTCAAGTCAGAATGGACTCATAACTGGCTATCTAGCTGGTTTCTGGGGATAAAATTGCACAGGACCTGTTTGTTCTCTTAGCAGTCCATGGTATATTCAATACTCTTCTCCAGCACAACTCAAAGGCTTCTTCTGTCATCCTTGGCTACTCTCTAGCTCTCTGATGATGCATAGCAAGTAATTGAGAAGACCATGGCCTGGATTAGGCGCACCCTAGTCTTTAGACTGACACGTTGCTCTTCAGTACTCTGGAGAGGTCCCTGACAGCAGATTTTCAGAATGAAATTTGTCTTTTGATTTCTTGACTGCTGGTGCCAAGAATGTTATTTTTGGAACCAAGCAAGCTGATATCGTTAACAATCTCAATCTCTTCTCCATCTATCATGATGCTACCAGTTGGCCCATTGGTGAGAATCTTTGTTTTCTTGATGTTGAGCTTCAATCCATATTGAAGACTGCAGTCCTTGACCTTCTACAGAAAACACCTCAGTTCCCGCCAAGAAAACAAACAGGTCTGTCCTAGAGAGGGTGAAACCAAGCTGCTTCTTGTAGGCAAGGATTTTGAAGCTATATCTCACGTGCTTTGGGCATGTTGCCAGGATGGACCAGTAGCTGGAGAAGGACATCATGCTTGGGAGGGTGAAGGGACACAGCGCATGAGAGGAAGACCCTGGAAAACGATGGATTGACTCAGTAGTGGGAATAGGTGTGTCGGAGACAATGAGATTGGCTCAAGATAGGGCAGGGTTCAGAGCTCTTGTGTAGAGTGTCGCTATGAGTTGCAGGTGATTCTAAGGCACATAACAACAACAACAACAACAACAAATTGCACAGGAAGAGATGGCCCATCTTTCTGCTGCAGAGCCGCTTATGCAATTGAATCTCCAGGGAGATGTGGCCTGTGGGTTAGCAGTGACACTCCCTATGAACTCAGCCACCAGAGCTCCTGGTACATTCATATATCATTATGTGTCATTGAGTCGGAACCAACTCACAGCTGATCCTTCAGCAGATCTTCAGCGACTATAAATTGCATAAGAGATTGCCCATCTTCCCACGGAGCAGCCGGTGGATTCGAACCATGTACATTTGGGTTGTCAGCGCAACTCCTTACTAATAAACCACCAGAGGTCCCTCTATATTCATATAACACACTCATGTTCAAAACATGTTAATAGAATATAAATTTTATTGAACCCAGCATACATAAAAAAGATTTTAATTTCTACATGTTAATTTTTATGTTAACATGTTAATGTTTCATTTTTAAATACCCTTTCCATGAGATATTTTACATTCTTTCATTTGCTCTTAAGTCGCTCAAATCCACATCTGTTTTGCGCTCACAAACATCTCACTTTAGATCTGATACATTTCAAGTGATCAAGAATCACTGGTGGCCAGCGGGCTCCATTCTGGGCAGTGAGGCCCAGAAAGTTCCCAGCAGGTAGACAGAGGGCCGTTCCCTTCTGTGAACACCAGGTAAGAGCAGCAATCATGGTAATAAAGTGAAACGGTAAAAACAAGAATAGGGAGCTCTCGTGGCTGTCTGTCGAGAACCGGGCTGCTACCCAAAGGCCAAGATTCACTGGTAGTTCCAATTTCCTGGTAGCTCCCCGGGAGAAAGATGGGTAACTTCCTCCTGTGCAATTTACAATCTCTGGAGAGTTCTGACTTGACAGCAACGAGTGGGTGATGCAATCCGCCTGCTCTTGGCTGCCAATGCAAGGTTGGCAGTTTGAGCCTACCCAGCAGTGTTGCAGGAAAGCTGGCCATTGGCCTCTATAAAGATCACAGCCAAGAGAAGCCAATGGAGTCATTCTACTTGGCCTACTGGGGTCACCAGGAATTGGAACTGACTCCAAGAAAGGCAGTAGCAGCAACAATGTGAAAGAGAACAGGTTCCAACATCACAACGCTGATGTGTTTCCTCCATTCTCGTGTCAGCCCTGAGAGCGACTTCAGGGAGCTAAGACTCAGAGAGAGGCAGAGCCTCTTCTGAGGTAACACATCCGGGCTGTGAACCCAAAGACAGCTGAGGTGCAGCTTCTGCTTTGCTGCCTGTGATGTGTTAATCCACCCAAAGGTGCAATAAAGGGTGGGGGGCGGGTTTCAGCACTGAGAAGGGAAAGAAGGGCTGTGGCAGATGGGAAGAGGTCCCTCTAGAGCAGAAGAAGGTCTTCAGAGGTCTCCTGCCACCTCTAATGGTGGGGAGGACCCCTATTCCTGAGCGTCCCTGGATAGTATAAATGGTGATCCAAGTCCACTCAGAGGTGCCTTGAAAGAAAGGCCTGGAGATCTACTTCTGCATGTTCAGCCATTGACAACCCCGTGAAGCAAAATTCTACTCTGACACACATGGGTCTTCTTGAGATGATCACTGCATTCCCTCCCCCCACACCCTGTTAATCTGGAAAAACAAAAAGCATTGCCTTTCATGACACATGGTTGGTTTTGGGGTGCACCTGGAGTCTGGCCTGGGTACAGGATGGCTGGACTGTGCCATCTCCCTCTGTGCTTTTCCAGGGCTGCCGAGGATTTGCTGAGGCCAAAGCCACCTGGATCTTTCCTCATCAGGGTCAGCCACAGCCACGTAGGCTACGCGCTGTCCTACAAGTAAGAATGGGGCCAGGGCTGGGGCAGATGTGCTCCGGGACTTCCTCGGTGGGGGTTGAAGTGTGCTTCATGCCACAACAGCTCAGGGAGCAATCAGCACGGGGTCTGCTTAGATCCAACTGAAAACCAAGCAGTTTCAGGTCTGGCTGGAACCAGCAGCCATGGACCCCAGCGGCACTTGGGATTCTCTCAGAAAATGGAATGTTAGGATCTCTCCAGAGCTGTCCTACTGTTACCCCACAATCATCTTGAGAGACCCTAGATCCTTGAGCCCTCAAAGTTTGCTCTGACATTTCAGATTATTCAGAAACACAATCTACTACTTTTCAAAAGCCAAATCCAAAAGATTTCTGGCCAAAGGAATAAAAAATAATAAATCAAATGCCTTAATTACAATGTTAAGCACAGTGGTAAAAGTTTAGGCCTTGAGTTTCCAGGTCACAGAGTCAAAGTTCAACTCTGTCTCTTCTGTGCTGTGTGGCCTGGGGTAAGTCACTCAACCTTTCTGAGCCTCTCTCAAAGTCCTCATGTCTAAGATGAGAAGGCTAACACTTAATTCAGGAGTCCTTGGATGGTGCAAATAATTAAGCACTGGACTATTAAATGAAAGGTTGGGAGGTTCAAGTCCACCAGAGACATCTAGGAAGGAAGGCCTGGTGACATGCTTCTGAAAGGTCACAGCCTTGACAATCCTGTGGGGCAGATTTATTCTGCATATACAGGGCCACCTGAGTGAGAATCGACTTGATGGCAAGAAATAACAACAAAGACTGAATTCAGTCCCGATGTGAGAATGAAATGAGAGCTAGGAAGCACTGCAGGACCCAAATAATGCAATTCACTGATTACTGGAGCATTTCTTGAGCACTTGCTGCATACTGGGCATATAGTCCTAAAATAGGACCTGTCTCCAGTATTCATTGTCATTGTTTCTACTGATCTGGACCTCTAGCCAGACACTGAACTGAGCTTTTGCTTTGTTTGCAAATAGCCTGTTTCATCCTCAAAAGAACCCCATGAGATCTGCCTTAGCTGCCCCATGATACAAATGAGGGAAACTGAGGCACAGGACAGCTAGCTAGTGGGAAAGGCAGCCAGATTGCCATGGGGATGTGAACTCCAGGCTGGGTGGAAGTGTGAGCGTGTCCCAGCTTGGGGGCAGGGGTCTGGGTGACCGGATGCACTGTTCTAACTCGAGTGGTGTCCCTGCAGGGCTCAAGATTGCTGCCGTCACTTCATGGTGAAGCTGCTAGACGATGGGAACGTTCTGATCCCGGGAGAGACGACAGCCCACACCTCACTGGAGGCCTTGGTCACCTTCTACCAGCAGGAGCCAATGAGGCCGTATGAGGAGCTGCTGACCCAGCCATGTGGCCAGGTGAGGGGTCCTGATAGGGCATAGGCCTCCAGAACCACACACACCCAGACCCCACTCGCTCCCTTCTGCCATGGTGATTCTGTCTCAAGACTCCCTCTCCTTATTCCTGTCGCCTACCACTACCGCCCTGGTTGTTGTCCCCCTACGTCCTGCCTTGGGGCTGCACGTCCCCCAAAGTTCCATCTCTCCTGGTCCCCATTCCCCTACACTCCACCCTGGGACGCTGTGTCACTCACAGAGGCTCCCTACTGGCTAACAAGGTCTGTGGACTGGGCACCCATCTAATTTCTTTCCCAGTCATAATTTCTTAGAAGTCCAGTGGATAGCACGTGGTCAGCGGTCAACGATGGGGAAAGCTGCTGTCCACGTGCTTGTGGGCGGAGCCCTGAACCTTATTAGGTGAAGTTGATGAAGCTTCTCTTTCACAGGAGCCACCTGCCTGTTTGTAACCGGATTCGGGTGCTCAGTGGGCGTGGCTTAGAGGGCCGCTGCGGGGGAGGGACACATTTCCTTATAAGGCCCAGTGGGCGGAGCCTAGCTCCTATGACGCTGCTGCTGGTGAACCTGCCTCCTACCCGTGCTTATTGCAGTCCAGTTGGAACTGACTTACAACTGACTCTCCAGCAGGTTTTCAGAAGGCTGTAAATGGCACAGGAGACAAGCATCCATCATTGACTTGCAGAGTGGCTAGGGGATTCGAACCCCCAGAGATGCGCAGCCTTTGGGTTATCAGCGCAATTCCCCACAGACTCCCCCCGGAGCTCTCTGCTCACACCCATACTTTCTTTGTGTGTGTGTTATAGCTTTATAATTCTTTTATTATAGCACTTCTAAAAGTTACAGAGAACAACCAAACGACCGCTCTTCTCACTGATACACAGCAATCTCAGACAAGTTGTAAAGCTTACCTTTTCCTTTTTTTCCTTTAAGACTGAGCTGCAAGGTTTTTCTCTTGTAGCTAAACTTCTAAACTTATTCAAACCTAATTGTTATGTAAAACAATTTCTTTTCCGAAACGAGAAGCTGAATCATGTATTTATTCCTACTTTCTTATAAACCCAAGTAGGTGGGATATTCTTTCTCCCACACTTTGTGAGCACAGCACCCTCAAGCCCACCTTCCCTCCTGGTTTGTCCAGCACCCTAGTCTGGCGCCTCTCTGCCTCTTTAGAGCTGAGCTCCAGGCCCCCTCTGCCCTGCAGGAGGATCCAGGAAACATGGACTATGAGGATCTCTTCCTTTACTCCAATGCATTGGCTGAGGAAGCTGCCAACCCCACCCAGGACCCCAGAGGGCTGGCCTCTTGCCCTGAAGCTGAAAAGGTATGTGAGGGTTGGGGGCTGCCACCTCTGGCCTGAGGGAAGGGCAGGGAGTAGAGGAAACAATAGCTGTGGCCTCAACTCCAACTTTACTCTGCCACCACCCCCCACCCATCTCTAGTCTCTCCACCATCCTTCTAATAACTGGACACATCAAGCCAGTCACACAGCCTTCCCAGGAGCCAGTGCTACCCCAGGGCAGTGTGTGCTTTGTTCACAGATTTGCCAAGCCAGATGTCTTCGTTCAGTTTTCATGTCAAGGTTCTTCCCTGACTGCAGAATGTTCTCATCCCCCTTTGTATTTGCTGCCGAGCCCTTTCTGCCATCTAGAAAGACCCAGTTTGTTTGTGGATCTTAGTGTTTTGGGCTGCCTCCCCTCTCAGATGAAGAGGACTAAAAACCCGTCTGCCTTGCTCACCACTCCTTCCTCTGTCCCTCAGAGAGGACCTGACATGTCGAAGGTGCTCATTTAGTGAAACAGATGAATGAATGAATGAATGAATGAATGAACCAGAGACTGTTTCAAAGCGTCTCAGGACCAGGCATGGCAGGGAGCTTCTGATGATGGTGGGAACTTTAAGCATGCAGTTGGGCACATCAGGGAAGGCTGCATGGAGGAGAGGGCATGAAGCTGGAATGTGCAGAGAGAGGAGATGTCAGTCACAGGCAGAGGCACAGGGATAATTTCCAGGGACACAGAACAGCATGTGCAAAGGTCTCACTGTGTGAGAGGAATTGAAGACGGGTAAGAGCCAGTGAGTGGGTGGCATGGAGTGATTGAGAGAGTAGAGTTTGGGAGGTGAGGGCTAAGACTTGCAGGACTTAGGGCCAGCTGAGGAGCTGAGGGTCTAGTCCAGGTGAGTTAGGCAGCCATGGAATTCAAGGCTGACTGGATCAATGGTGTTGAAGTTTTCTCTGGGACTGATGGTACAGAGGGGGCTACTGAGTACAAGGACCGAAGGCCGCAGGGAGAAAGTGAGGGCAGCGTACAAGTGGGAAATGGTGATAGCCCAGACCACGCTGGGTGCCCTGAGGCCTAAGAGAAAAGTGGACATTTGGGAAATGTTTTAGAAGGAGACTTGCTAATGGCTTGGAAGTGGAGGTGAGAAGAAGGACATTATTGTGCTTTGTAGCCCTGGAGGCAGTTGTTGCTGGTTGATTCCAACTCCGGAGGTCTCATGTGTTACAGAGGAGAAAGAATTGCTCCATAGAATTTTCTTGGCTCAGATGGAAACTGATTGCAATGGGGTGCTTCAAACTACCAAAATTTGTTGTTACTGATTACCTTTAAGTCAGAACAGGCCCAGAGCTGCCCCTCCAGTGGGTTCTCAGAGGCAGTAAATCGCAGGGCATCTCAGAACATTTGGTGGATTCAAACCACATGCCTTCAAGTTGGCAGTGCAGCTCCTTACCAGTAGGCAACCAGAGCCTCCTCCCTTTGTTGTTGTTGTTATGTGCCATCAAGTCACTTGTGACTCATAGCAACCCTATGTACAAGAGCCCTAAACACTGTTCTATCCTGTGCCAACCTCGCCGTCTCAAACACACTCATTCCCACCACTCCAGTCACAGACTAGATCCATCTCATTGAGGGTCTTCCTCTCCTGCGCCATCCCTCCCTTCTCCCACACATGATGTCCCTCTCCAAGGGCCAGTCCCTCCTTGCAACATGCCCAAAGTATGTCAGACGAAGCTTCAGAATCCTTGACTCCAAGGAGCATTCTGGCTTCACCCTCTCCAGGACAAACCTGTTTGTTCTCCTAGCAGTCCATGGTATATTCAACACTTTTCTCCAGCACCACAGCTCAAAGGCATCAATTATCTTTCTACCATCCTTACTCACTGTCCAACTCTCCGATGCATAGCACGTAATTGCAAAGACTGTAGCCCAGATCAGGTGCACCTTAGACTCCTGTCTGATGTTGTTGCTCTTCAGTACTCTTGAGAGGTCCCTCACATATGACTTTCCCAATGCAATTCATCTCTTGACTTCCTGGATGCTGTTATCAAGAGTGTTGACTGTGGAGCTAAGTAAACTAAAACTATTAACTATCTCAATCTCTTCACTGATGCTGCCAATTGGCCCAGTGGTGAGAATCTTTGTTTTCTTGATGTTGAGCTTCAATCCATATTGAAGACTGCAGTCCTTGACTTTCTGCAGCAAGCGCTTCAGGTCCTCCTCCGTTTCAGCAAGCAGGGCTGTGTGATCTGTATAATGCAGGTTGTTGATGATTCTTCCACCAGTCCTGATGCCACATTCCTCCCCGTACAGCCCAGCAACTCGGGTGATCTGTTCTGCATACAGATTGAAAAGGTATGGAGACAAAATACATCCCTGACGGACCCCTTTCTTGATTTTGAACCATCCAGTGTCTCCCTGCTCTGTTCTGACAACTGCCTCTTGGTCCAAGTATAGGTTTCACATTAGCACAATCAAATGTTCTGGGATTCCCATTCTTCTCAGAGTCAGCCACAGCTTGTTGTGATCCACACCATCAAAAGCCTTTGCATAGTCAATGAACCACAGATAGACATTCTTCTGGTATTCTCTGCTTTCTGCCAAGATCCATATAACATTAGCTATAATATCCCTAGTACCACGACCTCTTCTAAATGCAGCCTGTACATCTGGCAGTTCTCTGTTGACATATTGTTCCAAACGGTTTTGTGAAGCAGAATCTTGCTTGCATGTGATATCAATGATATTGTTTGACAATTTCCACACTCCTCCCTTTAGGTTAGTAAAATACAAACAAAGAGAATCCACTGACACTGAGTCAGTCTCAACCCATGTTGCTTTTAGGTGTCGCTGAGTCGAAGCCAACTCTTAGCGGTCTCGTGTACAGCAGATTGAAGCCTTGTCTGATCTCTCCTCTGCTGTGCCCAAACCCATTGCTGCAGGCACTGTGTGGATGCAACTCATCGAAGGCCTTCCTGTCTTACTCTGAGCCTCCACATTTCTTAGATAATGTCCTTTTCTAGGGACCAGATCCTCCTGATGCCATGCCCAAAGTCAGGGAGATGAATTCTAAACCATCCTTACTTCTAAGGAGGACTCTGGCTTCACTTCGCCCAAGACAGATTTGTGTGTTCTTTGGGCATCCCACGGGGAACAGTGATGGCTTTGCAGAGCTTGCTCCTCTGTCATCTCACCTTAGTGGTCAAGGAGCTGAGACACTGGCCTGCCCTGTGTGAATAGGGTGGATGCTGGTAGCCAAAGAAGGTCCTGTTGTTGTTAGGTGCCCCTGAGTCAAGTACGACCTATAGCCACCCTGGGAACAATAGGTCCGAACTCTGCCCTGTCCTGTGCCGTCCTCCTCATGTCTGACACACTTGAGCCCATTGCTGTGGTCACCCACCCATTGCTCCAGTCAGTCCACCTGGTTGAGTCTTTCTCTGAAGAAAGATGCTTCTAGGGAGCTCTGGTGGCCTAGTAGCAAGAAGCTGCGCTGCAGTCCCGAAGGCACATGGTTCGAATCCACCAGATGCTCTGCTGGAGAAGGAGAGGCAATCTCCTCCTGTGCCAGTCAGATCCAACTCTATGGTACACAATAAGAAAAGAAGGAAGGTCCTAGGCAGGCAGTTGTGAATGGTCAGCCCAAAGGTACATGGGTGGGCTGTTAACAGCCTCACTACAAACACCACCCATGTTTCTGGTGAATCAGAGGTTTTCAAACTATAGCCCACAGCCCACATCCAGCCCACTCCCTGTTTTTGTATGCCCCATAAAAACTGAGTGTGGAACCAGGTGGTGTAAGCTCTTAAGTAGATCAGCAGTTAGCCAAAAGGTTGAAAGTTCAAGTCCACTCAGAGGCACCGCAGAAAAAAGGCCTGGCAATCTACTTCTGTTAGAGTACAGCCATTGAAGACTGTATGGAGCCAGGGCTATGTTGACACACAGGGGATCCCTAGGAGCTGGAGCTGTCAAAATGACAACTGGTTTCCTTTTTGAAAAATGAAGTTTTAACTCAGTCCCATAAGGACAAATACTGTATAAGACCATTATTGTAGAATGTGTATGAGGACCCAAGGAGGGGAGGGAGGGAGGGTACAGAGGGGTGAGCATGGGAAGGGGCAGAGATGGTTAATCATAGGGCCACACAATTTGATCGAGGGAGGGAGGGGTAAGTATAGGAAATGGGAAAGTTCGGGTGTAAAAAACAATGTCTATGAACTTTGTTAGTAAACAAGTATAAAATAAAATTTTATTTCAAAAGATAAAGCTTTACTGGATCAAATCCGTATCAACCATGGCAGCTTTTGCTCCATAAGAGCAGAGCTGAAGCGAGCTCTGGTGGCCTAGTGGCAAGAAGCTGCAACTACAGTCTCAGAGGTGCATGGTTCAAATCCACCAGATGCTCTGCTGGAGAAGGAGGAACAATCTCCTCCTGTACCAGTCAGATCTGATTTGACGGTACACACACACACACACACACACACACACACACACACACACACAAAGAGCAGAGCTGAGTGGTTGTGGTAGGGGTCATCTGCTCCAGAAAGCTCAAAAGATTTACACCTTGGCCCTTTACAGACAAAGAATGTCCAGCCAACGGTGGGCAATTCACAATTAGTCAGTCAGTCAGTAGTGCTGTGGAAGAAAGGCCTGGCAAACTGCTTTGGTAACAACTGCCAGGTTGGAATCAAGTTAATTAATGAGCGATGATTTGGTCTTTCGATTTGGTCTAGAAGATAGAAGCATTTACTAAGACGGGAAGGCAGGGTTGCAGGGGGATCCACATGCGGGGTTTGTGCTGGATACTTCTTAGCTGTAGGAGGTCTGGGCCTTCCAGTCTGCAGACCAGATACAGGTGGGCATGCAGACCGCCTTTTCACCAACTCCTCCCTACCGGTTGAACCATTGCCTTCAAGTGTCTTCAGACTTAGAGTGACCTGGCAGGATTGTCCCATAGAGTTTCTAAGCTTTACTTAGGCTGACGGCACCATCTTTCTCTCAGGAAGTGACTGGCAGATTCGAACTAGCAACCTTTCACTTAGCTTCTCAGCACTTAGCCGCAGTGTCATCAGGATTCTTCTCTTCCTTTTTAGACCTCCCCAAAGTCGGCCGCACTCTCTCGGCCAAAGGAAAGGAAGCCTTCAACAGAGATGGACAGGACATCCTCCTGCCCCCCAAAAGTCCCGCTCGGGGATGCTGGCCAGAAGCTCTGGAAGAACCTCAAGTCACTCCCCAAAAAGGGCAAGAAGGTCCAGCAGCAGCTGAGATCCCACCTGGCAACCGTGAGCTTGCCATTGCTCTGGGACAACAAGTGTGACTCGGCAGCCCACAGCTCGAGGGCGGTGGCAAGCGGCCAAAAGAACGCGGGTGCTGCGAACTGTGTCTATACTGACTCCATTGAAGGGGCCCAGGCACCCCATTGGTTCCCCCGAGGCAGAAATGCCTTCTCCAGGGAAGCTCTGAGATCAGTCAGCTGGAGCGGAGTTTCTCTGGGGGACAGGAGTCAGCACCAAGAGGTAGTGAGGTCCACGTCACTGCAGGTATCCACGCAGGGATTAGGGGACGTGCCAGAGCCCCAGGAGGACTGGATCCCCGAGGAGTACCTCCGACCACCTCCGTTTGCCCCTGGATACTGCTAGAGACAGGCCCACCTGCCTCCAGGGACTCTCGTGCCAGGGGCTTTCCAGCCTCAGACCCTCTTGTCCAGTGTCACTGCACCACACCAGCCTGCAGTGACCTGGAAATGAAATAAAGACGTTTCTGCAAATGACTTGATTATGTCAATCATTGTATTCAGGGTAGCAGCAAGTGTGGGCGCCTACTGTGTAGAGGGTCTCCGAGTTAAAAGAATGCTTTCAAGCTTCTTAGCAGGCCACCAGGTCAGCCCATTTTCTGCATGTTCAAAGAGAGACTGAGGCTCAGGGAGGAGAGATGTGCCCAGTCGGAACTCCTTTCACCCATCATCTCTCCTCTGATATAAAATATACGACAGGAACCACTTCCATCCGGAATTCCATCTGAACTCAACATCAAATACATGGCACCTGCACATGGGCCCTTCTTCCCAGGGTGCCTGTGCAGGTGAAAGAGATGAAGTGTGCTGAGTGCTTGGTGCATAGAAGGCGTTCTGCCCCGAGGAGAGCTGTCTGGATCCAAGGGTGTGCTGTCCAGACCCTGGGGACTGGCACCCAGCCCCTGGGGAGAACCTTCAGGTCACTGAGAACTGGCCTAGGATATACGAAGAATTTTATCTACTCCACCTCCTTTCCCAGTACATCAGTAAGTAATACCTCCAAATCCCTTCTCTTTGTAACTCACAAGTTTGTTCTCTCTAGGTTTGCTCCTTTTCCTATAGGTAATCTTAGCACTGAGTTTTGCTCCAGACCTGAACCCTGAACCCTGTTCCAGAGACAAAAGGGAAATATAATTCCCAGCTAAGGAAGTGAAGGAGGATGGAGCTTCAAGGTTGAGCCAGCCATCCCCACTGGACCCACCTTGGCAAATACTTTGCCAGAGGGCAGTAAACGTCAGGAAAATATCTTCTAACTGAACAAGAAAGCATGTGGCTTCAACCCAGGACCACTAGTAAGGTGTTAAAGTGGGCTCCCCTACCCCCTTCACATCAACGCCCCTGTTCAGCATGAAGAAGTCAGAAAGTCTGTGCTGCATTTCCAAATGAGAAACCCACAAGTGAACAAGACAATTTGTTAAAAAAAAAATTAATCACCATTGGACTATGCTCACCATTACCCTGTATCTTCAGGTCCCCACTGGATCTTTCTCATTTCCTTCACCTACTCCCCCTACCCACCACATTGTGCAGCCCTGTGATTTCATCCCTGCCCCTCCTCACTGTTCTGCGCCCAACCCTCACCCCCTTGTCTTCCCATACATGTTTTTCACAATTAAAAAAAAAGAAAGAAACATAGAAGGCATTCTGGACACCATTCCTAGCAGCACTAGATGGTGTGTAAGGACCACTTTCCTTTAACGAGGATATAGGCAGTAGTGTTGGGTGGCCACTGGTTCTGAAGGGAATCTTGATCATAATGCTGTGTGACCTTGGAAGATCTGCCTGACTTCTCTGTGTGCAGCTGTCCCACCTTCGAGATCGTTGCTAAAAGTAGTCCCTCTCTTGTAGGGTGAACTGGCAGGGTATGCAAAACACCCAAGGCTTTGGCACACCAGTAGATGTTATGGATTAAATAAAGTCCTCCAAAAAGTTGTATCAAAGTCATATCTCTGTGTCTATGAATGTGGCCCTAGCTAATATTTCCCTTTTGTTATGTTGATGAGGCCCTACAGATAGTAAGGTAGGTCCCAAACATTAATCCTTTCTGAGCGGTGTCCTATGACAGAGACACACACCTGTACAGAGGGATGTGTGACAGAGGAGGAAAATGCTTCTGTAACCAGCACTGATGGCCCAGTGGCAAGAAGCTGTGCTGCAATCCTGGAGGCATTCAGTTCGAATCCATCAGCTTCTCCACGGGAGAAGGGGCAATCTTCTCCTGTGTGATTAACTGCCTCTGAAAACCAGCCAGAGAATCAACTATGGTTCAGTTCCGACTCAATGGTACACAACAACAACCAGCAAAGCACACCAAGGCATACAGCAGTCACCAGAAGTGAGGAAAGAGGTTCCCCCAAAAAACCTGATGTGGCCAGGATCCTGATGTGGACGTTTAGCTTCCAGAACTCAGAGGAAATAAATCCTTGCACCTTAACGTCAATTGCATTTTGTTATAGCAGCCCCAGGAAACTAAGACGAGAACCAAACACTCTACCATCGAGTGAACTCCAACTGACCGCAACTCCACATGTTACAGAGCAGAACTGAGCTCAACTTTGTCCCCTTAGCTGAGATCTTTATAGACACAGATTGCCAGGCCTTTCTTGCGTGGTACCACAGGGTGGACTTGAGTTAACAATGGAGCACAGAGTGTTTGCAGCACCGGGGAATCAGGAAACTATGCTAGTGGGTACTTAGTGACTTAAGATAGTAAATGAGGGTTGGGGCTGGAATAATGCAATGAGGATATGTATCTAAGGGGGTTCCCGGGAATTGGACTCAGTTATACACATTACTTTTTCTGGGACTAGCTGGGTCCAGATACAGGGCTACCAGCATGGTCATGGGTGAAGCAAGCATGGGCTTCCTGCATTCAGAAGGTGATCTGGGAGGTCTGACAGGGTTTATAATCAGAGTCCATTGGAGGGCACCGGCTTTGGGCTTTTTGTTGTTTGTTTTCTTGGACTAGACAAAAGGCTAGAAGCTCAAACTCATTCAGCAGTGTGTCACAAAGGCCTGGTGGTTTACTTACAGGCAAGAAAATCCATGGAGTTCGGTCTTACACTGTAACACAAGGATTGTCATGAGACCCCATGAGGGCAACAAGTTGGCTTAGTGGTCAGGCAGCTGGAGGGAGCTGGACCTGGGTGCAAGACCTGCTGCTGCAAACGGAGGGCAGTGTGGCCTTGTGCATGAGTGCTCTACTGCTCACCCTAGAGGGCGTCATTAGTATTGCACACATTCTTTATAAAGTACTGCTGTGCCCACCTCAGGAAAGACCTTCCCACCACTACTGTAGAGACCTCCCTTGGTGACTTCAGTGAATCAGCACACAGTAAAAGTTTTTGGTCTCTTGGAGGGACTCAAGGATTGAGAGAAAAGAGATGGTTCAAGCTTTAGGTGATGGGGTTCCAGCCTAGAGGAACAGTGGGAAGAAGAAAGCATGGGCCTCCTCCCAGGTCCTCATCTGTGCCCACTGAGACGTGTAGCCAGGTAATTCCAACACTCACAGTGGAGCGAAGCCTAGGAGTCATACACCCAGCTCTTTCCTTGTCCAGTCAGTGTGATCATGGATCAAAGAGGGTGTGTCTAGACGCAAGGTGACATAGCAAGGGACAAAGGTGAAAACCTAGATGCCTCCTTCCCACCAATCATATTAAAAGTAGAAAAATAGTCCTCCCAGTAGGTATGATGCAATGATACATGTTTATTCTTGGAGCCGAGAGATGTGAGTCCACTGCAGGGTGAGGGCGCCCTGTCCTCCGCCTGGTTCCTTCATCTGTCTCAGATGCGGATGTGGAAGGTGCTGTGTGAAAACAGAAGAGCTGTCAGTGTCTCGGGCAGAGCGACCAACCGACCAACCGAGCTCACCCTGCTCCCCACCACTCCCACAGGAAGCTGCCTGGGGTGATGGGAGGTGAACCCCACAAGGAGCCCCAGACCAAGACACTCCCAAGTCCACAGGGGTGCAGGGAACAAGTTTTGGCCGAGTGTCAGCAACCTGAATCCAACCGCAGAATTGCTGTGGGACTCTGAGCAAGTGGCTCTCCCTCTCTGGGCCTCAGCTGATTCCTCAGTGGGCCAGCGAGCCCAGCCGTTCCTCCTACACAGAGTGTGATGAGGGCTGAGGGTAAAGACAGGGCAGGCACAGCAGGTGCCCTTCAAGGGTGGAGAATCCCTCCTGAACAGTGCAAACAAGTGAACATGCTCAACTGCTAACCAAAAGGTTGGAGGTTTGAGTCCACTCAGCGGCACCTTGGAAACTTGGAAAGGCCTTGGGGAACTCTTCCAAAATCTCAGACACCAAAAACTGTATAGAATGCTTTTCCCCCTTTTGGAAAAGCTCACTCACCTAGCACATAGCTTCCAGCTGCTCACCAGTCTCTACACCACCAGCCTGTATCACCCACAGTCACCATCTACCTGTGCCACAAGTGACAGTCTCCAGGCTCATCGCTCACCAGTCTCTCCTAAACCAGCCCACACACCTATGGTCACTTGGGCTGTCTTCAAAGGAATTACTCTGTGGATCGCCCAATAGTAACAACAAGAGTGGATGATCAGTCATTACCCCTTGTGGGGTCAGGAGTTGTGGAAACACGTATGAGCAAGAACTCAAGTGTGGAAGGGAATGTTTTCACCCACTGAACTGCTACGATTGCTGATATGAGCAATGAACCAGACTGCTGGAGGTGTGGAAAATTCCTTCTTCAGCTGTATGCTTGGAAAACTAGATATGTATCAAGCAACTGATGGGTTTTTCCCTTAAAAAAAAATCCAGTCCACTGTGCCTGGAACTGTACAGCACTGCACCTTCTCTCTGGTCAGTAAGTTTCCTTGTCCCACTAGACAAAAACTAACTAGAAAAAAACCCAAACACAACTGTGCAGAGCCCAGTCATCCTCTGACCCACAGGGGTCATCACGTGTTGGGATTGATTCAGTGGCAACTCGGTTGGACTCTATGGTTGATAGTTAATGCAGTTCATATCCACCCACAGGTGCCTTGGAAGAAAGGCCTGGCAATCTACTTCCAAAATATCAGCGACTCTAAACTTATCTAGCACATTTTTAATCTGACACACAAGGGTCCCCATGAGTTAGCATTGACTCAATGGCAGCCAGTAGTTTTCTTCTTTTCAGCACATGATCAGGACACAGTAATAATAATAATCATCATCAGCCAGAAAATGAAAAGACATTGCGATGGAAAAGTCTGCTGTTAGAGACCGCTCCAAAGTACTGAAGAGTAATGATGTCACTCTGGAGACTAAGGTGTGCCTGATACAGACCATGGTCTTTGCAATCACTTGCTATGCATCAAAGAGCTAGACAATGACTAGGGATG